CAATAATTTCATTAAGCCAATTTATCAAAACCTTATCCATGTTTAAATGATTAAAAATTCTTGGATCAATATACCTATAGTGCTTCATTTTGTTATCTAACATATGGTAATAATGATCAAAATGTAATGTACAAAAAACTTAAAGATCTATGTAGTATTTTGAGTGAAACTGTTTTAATGATTGATTAAGATTTTGATATTATGTTTGCATCAACATATGATATACACTTTTTTACAGTTTGGCCAGGCTCTTATCTAGGTTTTGATTATAATCCTTAAAAACGAATTTGGTATACTAATCATTTAGAGTAAGTGTCTAAAAATAATAAAAATCTAACATATTTTTGTGAACCTCATATTCATTGGACATGGAAATTATTAATGATTGCTTAAACAAAAAGTTTACTGGATATTAATGGATCATTGGATGGTGTAATAGCATCACATGTAAATTTCAGTTAATTTGAATATTAAGATGATGGAGTTAGTTTCACAATTATAAATCCTGATGGTAGAATTTTACTTAGTTAATTAAATATTTCTGAAACATCTTACATATATGATTATAATTTAACTCATTTAGATTATTAAGATTATTAATAAATAATTAATTAAGCAAATAAACGTGAAACTATAAATAATTGTGATTCAAAGATTTGGAATGATTTTGGATATTTATGTAGAAAGATACACAATTCTACAGAAGAATAACTAATAAACACAAAGATTATGAAAAATGAAGGTTTAGTTTTAATAATGTAAAAATATAAATGATATATTATATAGATAATGCAAATTATCATAGTATTAGAAATAATTTCAATAGATGTTTGATACTTTTTAAAGTGGAATGTCATCTATATTCTTAGGTACAATACTTGGATTTTTTGGATATATGTTTTCATCTGCTTTAATTACAAGTATTATCATAATAATCTTATTTAATCCAATAATAAAAATAATAAATTAAACTTCTCAATATGTATTTAAAGAAAGTGTTTATATGTAACATAAATTATAATAGAAACCTTAATTATAATTTTTTAAAAGATCTAAAACAAATACATTAATCAAAAACTTATAAAATTCATTTAATAAATTAATTCATAATTAAATTAATCGTAATAAATCATTATTATGTTTATGGATTGAATAATTTTAATATCCTATCAAAAGGTGGAGATTAAAAAAAAGAGTAAAAAAAATATAAAAATAATATTCTTTATTATAAAATAATCTCTAAAATTAAGAAATAACAGATTAATAAATTACATTTGTATAACAATTAATTAAAAGTTATCAATTTAATTAAAGTACAACATAAATTTGATTATATATATTTATAATTATACTCAATGCATATAACCATCATGATCAATATAATAATGTGAGAAAAATGCTCCAATAAAAATTGCTCCAAATAAGAGACCACTTAATTAATGATTTGGTAAAAAATGTCCTGTATTAATGAAACCTAGAAACATTGCAAATAACATAGGAAAACTCCACCATCCAAATACAGGCCATATAGCAATTGTTAAACTAATAATATATGATTAATATTTATACGTTATGAAACTCATAAATCCAGCAAAGGCACCTAATTATATTGCTTTTGGATTATATGTTTCTATGTCTTCAGTTATGCCTTTTATACATGGTAAATAAAATGCAACATATAATGATAAACTAATGCTCATGCCAATAAATAATAATGCAAATGTAAGAAAAAGTCTAATTTGATTGTTTTGATTACTCATTGATATTTTCATTATGAAACAATTATTTAAAAAAGTTTGAATAATAAACTATAGCGACAGCTGCTGAAATCCAAAGTATAGCTTAAAATTTAAGCCATAGCCATTCCCCCCATTATTCAATTTTATCATAGATATCTAATTATTTAATAATTTTAGGTTATCTAGTAGATTCTTCTTCTAAATTTTACACCGGTACATACCTTCTCATTTAATTTTTTTTAATAAAATAATCAAGTTTTTTGTAATTTATATCTAATAACATCCATAATGAAAAAGAAAATTATGTTTATTGTTCCTCCAAAATTGTAAATATAAGGTACTGATAGTGAGGAGACTAAAGAAGGATGTTAATGTTAAAAAACGAAATGTCTAAAATTATACTGTTAATGTTTTCATGATGGAAAATGTTGTGGATAATAATGTGGTTGTAGTGGTTGTAAAAATAGTTTAAATGATAATCTTGAAAGAAATAAAGCTATTGTGAAAATTATTCATAAGTATAAAGATGAATATAAATAAAAATTATCTGGTGATAAAGGTTAAGGTTGTTGTTGTAAAAAAAGTAAATGCAAACTTAATTATTGTGAATGTTTTGTCAAAGGTAGATCATGTGGTGAGTAATGTCATTGTAAAAAATGTGAAAATGGAAAAAAATAAAATAAATAAAACTGCATAAAATAAGAGGAAAAGATATAAAATTGTTAAAAAAATCAAACAGCCTGAAATAAGCTATCAATATTTATTAAATTAAATCTCTTTTTTATTTAAAGGACTTTCTATTCATCTAAATAACATAAAGTATCTTTTGATATATGAAAGCAAAATATTTATATAATTTGATTTCTATCATATAAACCACATTTGATTTATATTTATTATTCAAAATTTTGAGTATAAATTACCCACTTTATCTAATCTTAGGAATATCTGTAAGAAAATAAATTTTATTATTATTTATTTAATAATTAACATTTTAAATTTGAATGAACTATAATAATACAATTCATAGAAGAGCTTAATCTAATAATGATATTCAACAAGTTATATGTGCTAGAATAGCTGGTTTAGTTGAAGATGAATATTAATAATAGAAACTTGATCCTAAAAGAATTAATCTAGGATCTACTTTGTTTCAAATTCCAGAATAAAATGATCTCATATCTTCTGTTGAATAAACAACCGAATCATCTAAATAACATTCCTAAATGATTAAAGATTTGAATATATCTAATGTGAAACCTAATCAATAATAAGACAAAGAAAATTTCAAAAATCTTTCATCATGTTCTACTCTAATCAATTAAATTCAATAAATTGTCAAATCTGGATCTAATAATAAAGAACTTTAATCAAAAAAACCATTCACTTCTTCAAATGATGCAACATAAAAAAAGTCTTCAATTCAAAGTCAAATGAGTTTTACAAAAGAACTCTAAAAAAAATAAGGATCAAATTATTTATAATACTAATAAGGATAAACACTTAAATAAAATATTACTCCTGATAGAAAAAGAGGTCCTTCTTATAGTAATAAATAAACAAATTAAAAATAACCTAATGATTCTACACCAAAATAAATATAAGGTACAGACACACTTAAAAGTAACTTTTCTATTTCTTTTTTTAATAATCTTATTAGATAAGACTCAAAAAAGAAGATCTCTAATTCTGACATTTGTGATTCCTATAGAAATATTGAAATTAAAATTAAAAAAATTGAAAAAGAAATTAATACCATTAAATAGAGATAAGATTAACTAGATGATAATAATAAAAATATTTAAGATCAACTAAAAGAATTTATTTATGAAAACAAATAATAATAAGAAGTATTTTATTCTATATATATATAATTTTAGTATGGTACTAAATAACTAAAGAAAATTGAATAATTAGAATAAATTACTAGAAGAAATGAAGAATCTATATGTTATTTAAAAAACTTCGTGATTAATAGTAAAAAAAATGATTAAAATAACATGAATTTTGGGTAAAATTATTTTGATCATATAGAAATATATAATAAAATGATATAACTGATTTACAAAAGAAATTTGCTGACTTTAAACCTATTAATCATAAAGTGTTTTGATAATGGAAACAAAAATAAAAATTTTGAATATTTAAATTTATAATCATTAACCTTCACTTTGGTTTATAGTAAATTCCAAGTTCATTGTTAATATATACTGAAATATGCTCTTATGTTATTAATTAAATGAATATCTAATTAAGTGTGTTTCATTTAATTTTGTCTTTTATTTTACTTTCATTTTATTAAAATCATGATATTAATTTCTTAAATATACATTGTATAGATTTTAAATAGATATAAGAAATTAAAAAATGAATATAAAAATATTTCAAATGTAATAATAAATAATGACTAAAAGTTTTGATAAATGAATGTATTATTCTTTTGGGTATTATTATTAATTTATTTCGTATTTCTTTATCACTCTGATATTTTAGTTAAAGCATGCTTAGTCTAACAATTTTAATTATTTTTAGTGCCAATAAATTTATATTAATCTACTTATTATTTATAAATTTCTTTAAGCTAATAAATGAATAGTATTTAGAGTTAGAGTAATTTATTCTATAATATTCTTATTTTACATATTTGAATAAATTTATCAGTCTTACCATCAAGATTATTGCAATATTTGATTTACTTGTTGTCATATGAAACCTAATTAAATAATATCAACTACTATGTTTAATATAATTTATTACAGATAAGAATCAAAAAATAAGTGATAACAACAACAACAACATATTCTAACATAAATATTGATATTTTTTTACTTTATAATAATTGTTAAAAAATATGTATAAAATTTTTAATATATTATTATAATTTACTTTTTTTTAAAATAAATTTTATATCATAATTTATGATGAAATCTAAGAGTTAATTATAAATTCATTTAGTGTCTAAGAAAAGGTATTCTAAATAGATTTATAAATAGTTAATGGATCATAAAATATTAAAATGTAGAATTGTACTTGCCAAAATACATAAATTAATAAATAATTCACACTTTTATAAAGAGTATAAAATAAACGGAGTTTGATATTTTATTATTTAAAATATATAAAAATATACACTTAAGAAGTTCTTCATTATTATTATATTCTTCATTTCTAGTAGATATAAATGTACTTAAGAGATGAATTTGAATTATTAAAGATAATACAAAATAATTTATTCATTGTTAGATCCATATGATTTCGAAATCAAATTTCTACCTTCTTTTCTGTAGATGAATGTATATTTAAGTGTAATCTGAATGAATTAAGAGTATGATGACTCTATTGATTATTATTATGATGATGATTATGATGATGATGAGTATTGAGTTCGCATAATTAAACACTATATGTATGAAAGAGAGATATAGGGCTATTTATCTCTCTAAGTGAAAAGGGAGATGATGGATCGCTATCACAGTGTTTATGTTCTAAATTAATAATTTTATGCTTTTTTGATTCATAATAATCCTACTATTTTTGAGTTGGATCAGTAATTTAGAGTTATAAGTTATTGAGATATTCAAGTATTTGCTCTTCTTTTTAATTCATAATGATTCTTTATAAAAAATTATATTATAATACACAAACTATGTATATTTAATTAGAATAATAATAATAGAGTTAAAATTTGATGAAATCATTATTATAATTATTATATCATGTTTAAACAATGACTTTAGCTTTATAAGAATTCATCGAATAATTAATCAGAAGGTACATTTTGTTCATCCTCATAATATTAAAGTGTTTTTTTCAAAATAGAAATTTATTCATTAGCATTATTTAATTGATTTCTTAATGTTTCATTTTATTGATAGATAACTTTAAGTTTCTTAAACTCTTCAGTACTAAATAACTATTAATTAAATAATTCCTATAATAATGATATATATATAAATTTACTTATTTAATTTATTCGAGAACTCCCTAAGATAATTAATTATTAGATTAAAAACAACTAGTTGATCTACTTTATTTAGTTGATTTTAATTTTGTATTTTCAGTTTATAAAGTTTCAATCAAAAGAGTTAATTTATTATTTTCTTCTAATAATTATCTTAATTTAAGTTCTAATTCTGGATTTTCATCAAGTTTTCTTTAACTTAATTTTTATCCATTATTATTTTCATTAACTTTCTTTTTATGTAATTAAAATTCAAGTTCTTAAATTTTCATTTTACTTTTCAATAATTCAGATTCATGACTTACTTACTACTTTGAATTTTTTTCAAATTCTGCAAAATTATCATGCCATTATTTTATCTCTAATTAAAATAATTAATATTATATACCTTCTTTTTAACTCAATATTGTTTTATCTGATATTTTAATTTTTTCTTTAAGTTTTTTTATTTCTTAATCTTATTATTAAATTACTTAATCTTTTTTATCTGTTTAATCTTAAATATTTTTAACTAATATATTCAATCTTTCATTTTCTTATATTACTAACATAATTTAAGATTCCATCTATAACATTGAATCTTAAGGATCTTATGTACAAATCTTTTGATATCTCTCTTTCCATTATTCAATTTCCAATGCTTAATCATCTATTACTTTTTCGAGACTCTCAATTTTAACCTTTATGAAATCTAATTATTAACTATCATGTGTAGATTGTTGATATTATCTTAATTCATTTTTTGTTTATTCCAATGCTTATGATAAATACATGTTATCATTTATTAATTATTGCATTCGTGTGTTATCTTGAACTATCACAGATCTATTTTCTTAATAAGATTTTCCTGTTTATTATTGTTTACCATTTGGTGTAAAAGCATTAGATTATCTAACTTCTGCTTAATGATTATTAACTATCAATCTTAATGCATTCTAAGAAACTATTTATCTTTATGGTGTGCTTGGAGCTTCTTAATAATGACTACTTAATCTTATTGCACTATTAAATGGACTTAGTGATTATACTTATCCATTAGAAAGAACAACCTATTTAGTTTTTTGAGTAGAGTTGGTTCTGATCATTCAAAATTAAATATAACGATAATTTTCAATAATTTAATATAAATGTAATAACAATATACTCAAGGCCTTATTCAAATTGATAAACACTTAGTTGAATTACATAATATCTCAAAAAATGATGATTAAATTTTAGAATCTTTTCAATAAACATCTTAATAATTAAGTGATATTCTAAAACAAATAAAAACATTAATGTATGTAAATAAAATAAATGCTGATCTTACTAAAATTAAATAAAACAATACAGAGACAGAAAGAATTCCAGAAAGATAAACAAAAAGTCCAGCACCTTCCTTATAAGATAAAATTTAAGGAATTATGAACAAAAGAATGAAAAAGTGATTAATTCTAAAATTATTATTTTTTTGTTTAATATTGATTATTACAAGAAGCAATATTTACTTTACTAAAGATTAAAACCTAAATTAAAATTGATTTATGCGATTTTAAGTCTTTTTTTTTATTATTATTAAAGACTAAAAAAATTCAAATTATAAGAGCATAATGATCACGAAAGAAAGTTAAACTAAGAGGATAAATATAAAAATGATATTTTATGAAAGAATACTTTAGTTATATTATTTTTCAAGTTTCAAGGAGTATTAACAATATTTTGTTATCATATTGGGAGAAATTCAATACTTAACATTTCTATGGGTCCCTAATATGAAATCTTAATAAATAGGATTTTATGACACATCTATTAATTATTAAGCTTTTGCTATTTATTTTACTCGTATAGATTAGTTGATTTACTTTTAATTCGGCAAATCTTAATCATTTTATTTGTTAGCATTGATGACACAAATACTTTTATTTGTAATACCCATTATATTATTAATTCTAATAAAACATAAGCAATAAGTTTTTTAATATACTTTCTTAAAACTATATTTCTGTTTAAGTTCACTTTATTGTCAAATATTTATAATCACAATTTTTATTCCTTTTTCAATTTTTTGTGTGGATTCTCTACTGATGATTATAGATATATTAAGTGCAACCAATTATATAGATATATTTTTAATTTGTTTAACTTTTGGACTTTTATTACTATTTGGAATTATTATATCTATATTATGTAAAGAAACAATAGATTTAAAAAAAGATAGATTTTAAAAATTAAATTAAACTTTTTTAGATTATGTACAATTAATACTTTTCATATTATAAATTATAGTTTATGGTGTTATCATAGATTAAAATAATGCTTAGATTTTATAATGTATCTTAATTATAACACTCTCTTTAATAAAAATATTATAAATTTATTAATTTTAATACACAAACAATAAAATAATCAATTTAATTCTAATAATATCATCTTTTGGTTTAACTCAATCAATTGTATATCTTATAAATAATATAAATGGAAGAAAATTAACATTGAATGCGAATTCAATTATTATTTTATTATTTATAGGTTTATCAAAGGCATTAATAGAAATTTATGAATATTAAGAAAAAGTACTTTGCAATAATATTATGACAATTAAATAACAACTTTCATTAAAATATTTCTTTACAAAATTAATTAATGAACATTTTAATGAAACTCATAAGAGAATTCTCAATGCTATAATTACTAGTGGTTTAGCTAAATTATAAGATTAAGTTGATGAATAAGCACATTTTTAAAACTATGATTCTAATTTTCTATCTCCTTTAAGTATGGAACAATTTGTGACTAAAAAATTGAAATAATATGCTAAAATTGTTTAAAAGAATAAAGGTTATGACTTACATTATATTGCTCTATTATATAAATATGGATTAACAAATTTAGCATTAAACTAAATAAATAGTTTATTAAATTCTTTTTTAAATTAAACTAAAAGTAAAGGATTTTTGGTTGATAGTGAAAATTATAGTAATAGATAAGATAGTTCAAGTAGATAAATTCATCATCAAACAATATCTAGTAAATCAATGAAATCTAATTCTGATGATGTAAATGATATTGCAAAGAAAAATACTTCATAAAGGAGTAAATTATTAATTTAAGGTAAACATTAATTATCTTAAATTGAAACTTCACGTGCTTTATTATTAAAAAATTAAATCAAAACTGAAATTTAAGTGAGATTCTATGAAAATAATAAAACTAAAACTTAGATTAATGATATTTAATTAGGAGTAGAATTATTTTTAAAAAATGAAAAGAGAAATTAAAATTTAAAAAATACACTCATAATTTTGATAAATGAAAAAATTAAATTCTTATCTTAATTTACAAATAAGAAAATTCTAGATTCTGATAAGATATTTAACTCAGCAAAGGATATCAGTTATTAATAATATAAAGTTGAGAATAAATTATTCTAAAGATATTAATAATTCCCAAGCAGAAAAATTTAATCAATTTTGACCTTTTATCAAGCAGAAATCTTAAATAATTACATTGAAGCATTTAAATATAAAGCTTTAACCTCTATGCCTGATGAATAATTAATTAATATGGATTCTAATATAAAATCAACATTTTTTACAAAAAAAGTTGTTTTCTTAAACATAACTTTAGAAGATAATTAAACTTTATCTATTTAACGTAAATCAGAAAATGCTTTGAAATTTTTCTAAGTACATCCTGATGATGCAAAATTATTCAATAATATTGAATATATATTACCACTTGGTATATAGAATGAACATAATCTATTAGTATAGAGATTCATATAAACAAGTAAATCAAAATTCTATCTTAATTCTAATTAAACATTTTTTCGTTATTAGAATATTTTGATGAAAACATGTTAATTTATTTTTGATATTCATTTTGATAGTATAAGTCATTATAAATTTTCTGCATTTTTCTCTGAAAGCATCAATTAATCAGCATATATTTTAGTAGACATAAATCATTTAGTAGGTGGTATAACAGAGAGTTTTTTTGAAAAAATAGGATTCAATGAGAAAACTGTAAGTTAAATAAATTAAGTTGAAGACTTTTATTTACCTATTGAATTACTTATACCAAATTTTAAAAAATTAATAGATTCAAATATTTAGAGTGCCATCACTGAATTAAGGTTTGTTAAAGAAGTATTCTTTAATCGTGATGAATATGAAAAAAAGTAAAAAAGATAATAATCCTTAACTTCAACAAATTGGTCATAGTTAGATAAGCTTTACATTTTTGATGCAGAAATAATAATTTCATACTTTGAAATTTATGGTTATTATTATTATATAATAGAAATAAAAGATTTAAAATAATAATTTAATTCAAAAAAGTCTATTGGATAATCAAGTAGAAGTAAAGCATAAGAGGGTTTAGAACATTTTTTTGAATTATCTGATTTATCTGAAAATGAGGCAGTTGCAAATTCTCCAAAAGCGTTCAAAGCTATTTATTCAGTTAAACTTAATGATGAAATGATTGATTTAGGTGATGAAGTGGAATTAAATAAAAAATAGATTGCATAACCTGTTTAAATATTACAACCAGATTATATTTCATTTTAAGAACCTAATATTTTAAGTCCTAATGTAAGTAATACTCCTTGGCAAGATTCATCTTAAATTCCTTTGTAATTTAGCAATTAATAATTTCATTAATA